ATTACAATGTGTTATAACAACGATAAAAATAAAATAAATACAACAATAAAAATTAATTGGCGCTCCGGGGCGACTTCATTGATTCCAGTGGCGCATTTGCTTTTTCAGCTGCAGGAAAACCCGGAAAAACCTGCAGCACCACATCATCTGAAGATCTTGATCTTGATTTGTTAATTTTTACATTCTCTATTAACTTTTTTTATATGTATCTCCAGTATCTCCTTCGATCGATCATAGATTCACAATTTTCTTTTGTTGATGTATAGCTAGCTAAATCTGGTAAGACCTTCATGTTATCTTGTCGTGGAGCTCTCGATTGACCCTTTCAAAGTTCTTTCTAAAAGTTCCAAATCGACTTCAGTATAATTTGATAACTCATTTCATTCAGTTATTCAGCAGTTTTACTCCAGTTTGTTTTGCTTTGGTTTTAATATTGCGAGCCTGCAAATTCTTGCAATGAACATCCAAATATTCTCCCTCAAATTTGAAACCCTAAAATATGTCTGTTATTTGTCTGAAGTTTTCAGTTTTCACTCATTTGACAACTGTCTCCTACTCGACATTTCGGTTGTCATCTCATTGTTCATTTTCAAATCATCGTGTTTGTTTGTGGATATGGGAATTATCAATTAGCTTATTTAGATGAATTGGTTCAGATTTCAATTAAGATTTGATTCAACTGATGAAAAAAATAATATTCAAACTCTCTCACCAACAAATATCTGATACCAACAGTATTTTTAACTATTATATGAATGCTTTGTATTGTTACTCTGAAAATAATTATTTCACGTCCTGTATTTTTTTGCAATCTGCTGTACAAGAAGACGCAAATGGTGAGTGTAACAATATAATTGGTGGATGTTGTAATTGTTGACGAAAAAAACATTGTTTATGCAACAATGACAGAATTGTTACTTGTAGGTGTGATTCGGATGTGCAATTTTATTTTCATTTACACACAGAAGCACTTCACTCATGATTTGCATAGGTAATATAGCTGACGTCTATTTAAAATTATTATCGACACGATAAATGAATTAACAATAAGCAAACCAGGAAATTACAGTAAATCACTATTAATGTGTCTTTTATTTTCATTATAAAATATTTTAATGGGTTTTTTCGTTAAAGTTTTCCTTTCCGAACGATATTCAAGATATGAAATGAATGAGGTTTTGCAAGAATTTCCTTTAAGGTGGAGGTCTTTTGGATATAATTCAATATGGGTCGCGGTATTAGCCAATGACGTTGCTGTTTTGGGTGTATCTCTCCTTGTCAGTCATCAAATCTATTTGATTTGTGTTGAAAGAACTAACTTGATACATCTAAGTCGGCTATTGTTGAATTTTTCCACCAGAAAATTCTATCAAATGATAAGAAAATACCCTGCTTTCAACGGAAGTTGAATTCCGAGGCACACAATTATACGACATTTTCAGTGTCAACTTTTAGTAATTATAAAATCTTAATTGCACCCTCAATCTATATTCTCAGGTGTGCTGTGTTTATCAAGCCGAGTTTATCATTTCATTACTCTTAAAGCATTCAAACATAGTTCACAATACATATTATAACGGGTGATTTTTTATATGACATAGTTTAATTATCACTGATGACAAAACGACCAAATTGGTCCTCAGTCGGTGTTTTGAAAAACTGAAAGATGCGAAAATGTGACCTAATCCTCCCTTAAATATTTGGCCTTAAATAACTCTTGAATAATGATACTCAAGAAAAAAATCGTTTTAATAAGCTCAGCACCCTTGAAAACCGCTAGGTACGTGGGTAAGATGTTGATATCATGTCAGAAATATCTTAGTTATCTTTTTGCTGGTATTTTTTTGACAACACTGTTTTTGACAGATCACGCGTGAATCGTGTCTTGTGTCATTGTCAAACTTGTTCGGTTTAGTCCATAATTTAACCATGAATCGACTTACGAATGAACAACGCTTGCAAATGATTGAATTTTATTGTCAAAATTCATGCTCGGCGAAGAAAGTGCATCATGCACTTCTTCCAATTTATGGGCAGTTTCGTCGGCCTACTGAGGGAGCTATTCGGAAGCTTAAGACTAAATTTCGAACCCAGTTTACATTATTGGACATTAAACCACCAACACGCATACGTAGAGTGAGGACCGAAGAAAATATTGCGGCTGTATCCGCCAGTGTTCGTGATGACCGTGAAATGTCGATTCGCCGCCGTTCGCAGCAATTGGGCCTCTGTTACTCCACTACGTGGAAAATTTTGCGAATGGATTCCAATAAAGATTTCATCAATATTTTCAAATTTTTTGTGTTGCTTTGAGAATCAAGTCCTATACCTCTTAAAAAATCACAGTTAGAATCATCGGCCCTTGTAGAGTCGACAAAAGGTTCTTTAGGCGTCTGACTGACTCATCACGTTCGTGAACGTCCGTTCTTAGTAGTCGCTACTAAGGAATATCGTTATATTGTAATATCTGAAATTTAAAGTATATCTATTGACTCCTCTTTGTGGAAATTATATGTATCTCTACTTGGCAATCTCTCATCACTAAGTTAACTCTTGTGACATTTTGGAAATATGGTATTATTCAGGTAAAAAAAATGCAAGACAGAGTCCAGAAGTCCAAAGAAGAAGTGCAGAAGGGCAGAGAAAAATATGAAATAGCTCTGCAGGAAATAAACCAGTACAACCCCAAATACATGGAAGACATGACTGTGGTTTTCGACAAGTGCCAAGAAATGGAGGCGCAAAGGCTGAATTTTATTAAATCGTCTCTATTCGAAATACATAAATACCTCAATATATCGCAGGATCCAACGTAAGTAAACAAAAATTTAATTTTGAATATTTTATTCCTTTCTTAATCACTGTATGTGAATGTGTGTCTGAAAAATCTTTTTCTATTTAATATTTCTAGTTGGTAATTGGATGAAATTTGCAGTTTTTGATAGAACTGTTGAATTGACGATTTTCAAAGTTTCATCGAATAACTTGATCTCCTGAGTCAGAGTCAGAAATGCTTCATTGTCATAAAAGTTTAGGTTTTGTTGACAAAGCAGGCTTGAGAACTAAGACAATCTGAAACATTAAAATAAAGGCCAAGAATTAAAACAAGATATTGATATGGCTTAAGCATACTTCAAAAAGTCCATGGTAGAAGTCTGTGGTAAAAATTTTTCTCAATAATATAATAAGCTTTATCTAGCAGATTTTTTTTACTCTTTTTCGAAGCTCTTTGTAGCAGGTTAACTTTCTGATTGAAAGGGGGAAATGATTGAAATATTTTTTGCTATTATAAAGAATTATAATTTGTGCTGTTGACGGGATAGGAAAAAGAATATTGAATGTGAGACTAGTGGCACAACTTTAAGTTGAGTTGGGTATAATTTTGTTATTCGAAAATTGAATATAGAAAAGTAGATTCATATTGCTCAGTGCAAAATTTACTTGAAACCTCAAATATTTGTCATGTATCAAAGCTTTGTTAACTATTTTTTGTACAAATCGAATCTAGGACATTTTATTGTTTCGTGAGCTGGAAAAAGGAATAATCATCTACCACTATCGAATGTAAAAATAGACAGTACAGTAAAGAGCGTCATCAAAGATAATGTGCTACTTAAATATCATTAAAAAGATACAGACTACAACAATTAACCAGTAATCATTAAATTTTCATATATCTTTCGTAATCCCACTATAATTATAGTATAGTTTGTTTATTTTAACTCTGTATCATGTGCGTGCTACTTTATTGAACTGTTTAGGGCAGAAAAAACGAAACACGTAGCTTCGTGTTTTTTTAAGAAGAAAGAAAAACTGCTGTTTTTTTTCTTTTTTCACGCTCCATGTCGGCTGTTAATTTTATTTTTATAACAACAGACAAAGTTATTTCATTTCGAAATAATGAAAATTTTACTCAGAGACTGTCAAACCAAATTAGTTGTGCCACTACTGAAATATGAAAAAATTATGGCAATGAAATAGTAGAAAATTAGTCAAGTTAACTAACATGTCCGCTCTGAAGCGGGGGTGAGGTATTACCCGTGGAGGTAAGAGACCTCCAAAGGTATGTGTCGAAAGGATGTATTACTCTGAAGCCACTTGCTCACTTGGAGATGACACCGGGCAGCCTCTTAATGTAGAAAACCTTGTCGTGGTCAGGCTCTGTTGTGGTGGACCTCCTTTCTCTAGCTACTTGTGCGATCGTTCAAAGACTTAAGACATAATCAAAGATACTGACCCTGAGTGTATTAAACGACGCCAACTCTCCTGTATTATCCGATCTAGAGTAGGAACATTTTCAAACACTTGATCCTGTTAACAAACTTGGAGGGATTTGAGGTTATGTAGGTTTCTTAACAACATGTACAGCTGCCGGACTAAGTCATGGCTAGTGAGAATCCCCTCAAGATGAGCAGTAAATGTGTAGAAATCTGTTATGTCTGTTGGATTATTCAAGCCGTTAACATCCAAATTCAGGACCGTATTCAGTTAGTGATGGATTTTAAAAGTAAATTGCATAAACATATTCTTAATACCGACCCAAACTTTACGCAAATACGATTTCTCCCACTGGCCATGACTCAGTCTAGTAGCTGTAGTGTGGCTTTCGAAATATCGCAGATTTAATGTGAAGCAACCATTTCAAAACGTTTTGAATGTAAAACCATGTTTTGATTACATTGATGCGACTTTATTGTATGACACTTTCGAATTGAACTTACTATTAGTACCATTTTTCTAACACCAGTGATATCGTTCCAATTCCATGATTGATATTAGGTGAGCCAATGTAGAAAAAGGGATATTCAACTAAACAAGCTAAACAGCTGAAACTGTGAACATTTGTTCAGAACAAGTGTACCAACTTAAAAAAAAGAAAATCGCCATTCACCTCATTTTTCTAACAAACCTCTTACAGAGAAAGCTGTTCAAAAAATGAATATAACACTAATGGATGTTCAAATAAGTTGGTATCTGTAAATTAATAAACTGAAACTGAATGTGTCCAAAAACGAGGCAATGATAGGTACCAACAAAATCAAGAATGCTTCACTTGATATTGAATAATTAATTCAATTATAATAATATTTCACTTGTAGAAAAAAAGAATTTAAAATGAAAGAATCGTATAACATTGATGTGTATTCTTTCGTCGTCCCAACTGTGAGTTCATAAAAACAAAATTATTTCGAAAAGTTTGAATATTTGTATATATTAGGATGGCCCTCATTCAAATAAATACTTTTCAAGGTTGAACCAGATATACGAAGAACTGTACCACACGATAAATAACGCCGACTACGAGAAAGACTTGAAATGGTGGTCAAACAACCACGGGGTCAACATGGCCATGAACTGGCCCCAATTCGAGGTAAGTCCCCGGCCTTTCAAGCGCATGGGCATAGTCGTGTTCCGAATTGTTGGATTTTTATTTTTGAGTTCGTTTCGTTTTGTGACTGCATGTTTTCCCCCTAGGATTACACGGAGGAATTCAGAGACATCCACAAGGGCAAATCCAAAGATTCCTCACCGTCCGGCATCACGTTAATACACCAGAGACCAGTCGGAGAGGACTTGCATGTATGCTTTTCATTATTTTTCGTTGATATTTTTTTAAACAGAGAGTTTGGTGAGTCGGTTAATTTGGAGTTTTTTGGGTTTTCTTCTAACAGTATATTTCGGTTTTCATGTTTGATTCATAAATTTCTGGTATCGAAAGGACTCTCCAAACACTCTGGCAGGTTGAATTTTATTTATTTCAGGCATTAACTGTATTCACAAAAAAAAGTCTTGTGGGTTTCGAAGGTATTGAACTAACTGTAGTTGTGCTCTCTGGAAGGGACTAATTCTACTTCTGTAGTCTCAACGGTAATGATGGTTTTAACACTTCTAACTTGATATGGAAAGAAAGAAATATATCTACTGCCTTAGTTGAAAATTATTGAAATATCTTCGTCAAAGACAAAACAAAAAGAAAGTGTTTATCATAAAAATCTATCAGAGAGACTTACCAAATCTTTGCTAAACTTTCATGATAAACTTGCCTATGTGTTGAACAGATATAATAATAATAATCTTCAGTTCAAAGAATGTCAGAATCAATAATGTGTGTCTTGAATTTGTTTGTTGTTTTCCATTTTTCAGCAAAAGAATATTTTACACCCTTGCGATCTTTACCTGAACATTTCCTTCACATGACAGTAAAGAATTTCAAATCATTTTATGATGTGTCAATTTTTTTATCTAGGATTACTCCTCAACACAGAAGTCGGTAAAGAAAGCGGCAGCTGCTAAACCAAACAACTCCGGCCCACCAGCACAAGGAAAAGAAACCGTCAAGTCGATCACGGAGAAGAATAACGAGAGCCCGTCGAATAGGGTATCGACTATTACGTAAGTTTGATATTGGTAAAAATAGTACCTAAGTATTGAAAAACTATATTTTTTTGTGTTTTTTCTAGCAACGGCTCGTCCAACAAAGCGAACGACTCTAATCCCTTCGACGAAGAGGACTGGGAAGAAGGGGATGCCTTGGTGGATAACGGCGAACCTGGTGTACCAGTCAAGGCTCTTTATGACTATGAAGGAGCTGAGAATGATGAGCTAAGTTTCAAAACAGGTAATTTTTCTATGTTATTGCTTCTTCATATTTATTGGCAGTTTCACAATGTACCAAAAACATACTTGTATCCTTTTATTAACACAAAAACTAATCCAGATAACACCAGGTATCCTGTGAATGTCCTATGGATGTCCATAGAATATCCACCGAAGAATATTCATTCCAAGTCCACTGGGGGATATCTTACGGATATCCAGTTCATGTCCAATTCAGATCGAAATATTTCAGGGCATAAAATGGAATTCCCTGGTGCACCTGGAATGGATATCCAAAAAATATACGATATCTTATAGATGTCCTAGTTCGGATGTCCATAAGATATATTTTAGATAACTTGGATTTACAGTGGTTACCTATCAATTGGATGTTCGTTGTGTTGTCTGGGAATGGGAAGTTTTTGTCTTAAAACTCTATTTAAATTCATGTTTTTCATTGAATATCTAAAGAAAACAAACCATTTTCTTTTACTTGAATCACAAATTAATAATAGAGTTTGTAAAATTATGAAATTCTCATTTTTCTAAAGCATATCTGGGACAATACCGTTGAACCCTTTTTTGCATTTTTGGGTGTCTTGAATCTGTGAATGTCTAACCCTAGGAGGCTGAAATTTATTTCGTTTTCGAGATTTTCTTCATCTTTTCCAGAACTCAAAAACACACCATCTAAATAGGAACACATTTTACAATAGGAGTAACATTTTAGTTAGTAAATATGTAAGTTTGAGTATGATTTAGCTTCTGTGGCAGTTCACTTCAGGGCCGTACGCAGATTTTTATTTCGGGGGGGTTAATATAATATGTATGACATATCCGAATGCAGGATACTATATCAAGTAAGGGAAATGATCGCCCCCGCAGTGGGCGAAAAATAATTGAAGTGTTGATAGAAGTAACTTGATTTCTAAGATGATTTTCATTTGTTGATATTGTGTGGTATTAAATAAGTTTACACTCGGAAATAATAAGATTTTTTTAATTAAAATGTTAAATATAAAGGTTTCGAATATGTATTACTCATGAAAAATTCCAATTTTCTTTTTTGATTTGCAAAAATATTTATGACTTTGTCGGTGGGAATGTCAATGTCTCTATGAATAGACATAAGAGCTAATCCAGTGAGTCGTTCCGGCCACAGGAGTTCCTTAGATAAGATTTAAGCCTCTTCAGTGTAGAAAATGATCTCTCTGGTCATGTTGTCACCGGCAAAGTTGCATAAATGTTTAATAACATTAAAATATTTGGGTAGAGTTCAGCATTGCACTCTCCAAGAGCCTCAATCGCACATGATGGTCGATCTGATTCATCTCTTCGTCTTCAACAAATTTTCCAAAGTTCATACTCACTTTTCGATAAGCTCAGATCAACTTCATTTTTGTGCATAGCCAAGTTTTCTAGATCCAGTGATTTGTCACAGCAAACAGACGGTAATAAGCAGTATAGGCCGGATAGAATATTTTTGTGGTCCACAAATCTACTTTTCAGTTGGCCAATGAAATCGTCCAAAACTGGAACAGCTACAGTTATACGAAAATATCGTTCTGGATCGTTTGCTTGGAAATTGCTGTGATATCTTTGAACGGATGTCAATCGTGATATACGAATCTCTTCATGAACCTCGTCTAATATTGACTTTACTGTTTCGAAAATTATTGAGAATTGGGTCTCAATGTTGGTTCGAAAATTTTCAATGATTTGAACAACATTCTCGATATGATCTATACTTGACACTAAATCAAAAAGAGGAGACTGTAGGATTTTGCAGAGTGTAATTGTGAAGGAGAAAACGCTTTCCAGAAAACAGAGACTTACAACAAATTCACTTGCAATCATAGATTTTGAAAATGATGAAGCATGCTCAAGTTATGAGCGCTCAGGCCATAATTTGCAAACTTAAATCGTTGGGAATGCTTGCGTGCTCAAAGCGCACCAAATATTCGCGAGAAAATGTCTGGAGTTGGTTACAATCAATACTATTTTTTTATTGATTAATAGTTTATTGAAAAATGAAAAATCAAAAAAATTAGGCGATGGTGGATGACACCATCAGACAGAAGTAGAACTGGGGGTACTGATTTATTAGTGAGATTATTGTTATTAGATTCCAAAAATTTGTGCGTTTTTCAACAAAAAGCTTTGAATTTATTTAAAAATAAAATATGCCCTCAAATTATGAAAAAGGACGCAGTATTTGGGATATTTCGGGGGGGTTTCTGACCCCTCTAACCCCCCTCTGGGTACGGCCTGGTTCACTTTGTGAAGTCTCAATTCTATTAGGCACCAATGAAACATTTTCTGCAGTGTTTATCTATCTGCTTAGTTCTGAGTTTAATATTTGTGAAGTGCTTTTTTTCTATCTCAGGCTTCAACTTTACTGAAGGTTAGTTTTGATTAGGAAAAAGTTGATAAATATAGATCGCTAGATGAAATAATCAACAAGCAGGTTTAAATTCTATTTGTATACTAACTGAAAACTCACCATCATGGAGAAGCTCAAAAGGATATCGAGAAAGAGGTAAATACATATCAGTTCCTTTGAAAGCTGAGATTACAATAAAAATAATATAGAAATCAGAAGAAATAAATAAAGGTCACTACACATATTTTTTTGCTACTTGGTAGCATCTGACTTATCTATTTATTCCAAGTATACAATGCAGCCTATGTACTAGTTTCAACAGGTCCATAAGTCCTTAGCCTTCTATGATCAACTGCCGCACATTTGCATAAAACAAGACGAGCTATCTCTGTTTCTTTGATGCATTGTTTGCAGCTGAGCTCTCAAATATGCAGTCCTATTTTGTTCAGGTGTCCTCTAAATGGACAGTGTTCACTAAGTAGCTCAACAGAATTCTAGGTTGCGATAAGAATGTTGTCAAAAGTTTCTCTTGGCAAATATCAAGAGTTCAGGCTTCAATTATCAAAAAAAAAATGTTGATGTGAAAAAAAAAGATGAAAAAATAAGCTTAGAAATTACTGGAAACAAAATATTTGAGTGAATGCTGTAAAAAATGGAAATATTAACGAAAATGAGAATAAACAATGAAATCTAAAAGTATAAGAACGCCAATTTGTAAAGATAAAACATGTTCGTGAAATGGAACGAATTATTGAACTGGGTTAGAAAAATTTTTATAATTTTCCTGATTTCCTTACTATCCCGTCGAAAGTGTCGTTCAGCATGAATACAGCATCTTTAAACTTCTTTTTAAACCAGTATTTCTCCCTATAGGTGATTTTTTCAACATAACACTTCAGATATTTCATTCTCATTGTGTTTCATTATATTTTGTTAATTTCCAACACATTTCCAACCAACTCGTCACAACATGATGAGTTCTAGAGTATTTTGAATTCTTCATTTATTTGTTTTTTATTTTTCAAATCAACACTTTTTTAGATAATGGAAGTCCGATTCTTAGAACTCTTTTTTATAAATGTTAGCACAGTGTTCACATATAAGGAGAGTCTGGAAGCAACAAAGGAAAAAGGTCAATAAAAAATAAATGCAAGGCTAGTATTAGGGAATGGAGATGGAGCCAGTAAATATAAAGTTTGTTCCTATAGAGACATCTAGGTTGTTAGTGTGATTAGGAAACTTCAAACTTGATAACTTCACACAACTTCTGTTTAATTCAATAATAAAACAACGATAAAAATAAAATAAAAATAACAATAAAAATTAATTGGCGCTCCGGGGCGACTTCATCGATTCCAGTGGCGCATTTGCTTTTTCAGCTGCAGGAAAACCTAAAACTTCGTTCTTGAAATTCTTCGTCATGAACAACACTTGTAAAATGCTATTCATGTAGCAAGTGTTTCCTAAATTATCCAATCCAATTTTCTTCTCTAGATTTTCAGGACAACTCTCTACTGATTCGTAAGGAAGAACACGTTTCACAGAATCTCCATAAGAACCATTTCTCAAGCTGCGTTGATCCTTCCAAGTGAAGAAGGGTTTCGTAGAGGGATCGATTCGGCTCTTGCTTCAAGAAGCTCTTCCACTGTTCTGTTCACTTGTCTAAGAAAAAACTGCTAAAACGTCAAATTTTTCACAATTTATCTCAATCAAAACTAACCTCTTCAAAAAATTCCAATCATTTTGAAAATTCCAGAATTACGAATTTTATTACTAACTCAGTCATCACTTGAAATTCATTGTTCACGCATTTCAGGAGACATATTCGATAAATTGGAAGATGAGGACGAACAGGGTTGGTGCAAAGGAAGGAAAGACGGCAGAGTGGGACTTTACCCTGCCAATTACGTCGAAGTGGTGCAGCAATAAAAACTTTTGGTGTCGAAGAAAAAAGTGTTATTATTATTTGTTGTTATTTTTTGAGAAATATTTACGGGGCTATTGCTCATCTTAAAATTTTAGATATAACCGTCGATGAAATCGAGTGAATGCTGACGAACGTTTTTGAAACGCTGTACAAATTACTATTATTAATGAACAGTGTCGATGTGGTAACATTAATTTATAGTCCTAACTGGAAATCGAGGAAAGTTAGCAGCTAGTTGGAGAAGAGTTTTCTGTGCTGACATGGCTCGTTGATAGAGTTTGCGACTCGTTTTGAAAGTATACAAATTATCAGTATTTGGAGGATAGCGGTGAAGTCTCGTCTAGTCCAAGGAGAAATTTGTTTTTCCATTTGAATGCAAAATTATAATTTTTTGAGTTTCTCCCTCCTTCAACCTGAGATTTGATGCACATTCCGGAGGAACTAGGATAATCTTGCTCAATTTATTTCGATATCATTTAATTTTCCACTAATTGTTGTGTAACAGCTCCGAGTTATTGAAATTAATGATACATTCATCCGGAACTGAACAATTCTACATACTGTTCGTCTTGTAAATCCCCTTTATACTGATTGTGGCTAATTTTCACCTTTTCACAAGTTGTCATAATTTATTTAGTATTTATAATATTCTGTTTCTCTCATTTTGTCGCCACTTTCGAGTTCCATCTTCCATGTTACTTTTTATTTATGTTGATTTGGGCGTAGACTTGACTTGGGCCATTTTCTGTTGGATACTGATTACTTGAATAGAGACACGTTTTTTTTTACTTATCATTCTGCATTGTAATTGAAAACAACACGATTCACGAAGAAAACATGTTATATTCAAGTAATCAGTATTGAAGCTATAGTCATTCATGTAAATACAATTTTGAATAAATCGAGACACTTCCAGTGGAAATTAATATTGTACTATCATTAGGCTTAGTTAGAAATTGTATGTAAATTATTATCCAGTAGATTTGTTTGAGAAACAAGAAATTGTGTATATTAATACAGTAAAAGTTTATTTTAGAATTACTTTTTTGTTTCATTCCATATTATTAGAAATATAATACTTAAGGGAACATATTTTGTGTAATAAATTATTGAAACTTACTGGAATCCTCGGGTGGTCAAACAATGGGAATAATTGTATTAGTGCCATCTTTTGAAGTTTAGAGGAACTATTTCAATGTAGCCAATTTTGCGAACTGATATCGTCAACGCCATCTTCTGAAGGATAGATGAATTATTTTAGAGGTGTCGTAGGAAAATTTTATAAACTAATTAAGCATCATCCTTTGGAATTTTCAAAAAATGGTGGTAAGCCTTATTTCTCAGCTTTCTTGAAACTAACATTATCGCTTTAGAATATTTCAAAACTTGTAATGGCGTCTTGTTTTAAAACTGTCAATAACTCATCAAAAGCGTCATCTTGCGGGTTTTCATGAAATTAATTGAACGGCATCTTTTTAAATATTTGTTAATTGTACACTATAGTCGAAGTAACCGATATAGTAATCTTAAAGGTGTCGGCGAAGTCAAAGGCCAAAAAAACCGATACAAAGGAATTATGCCGCAACGAATTAGTCCACGTGGACTGAAGAATTACCGGTTCGTATTGGATAATTTTTACTAACCGAGTTTTATGATTGGCTGAAGAGTCATAAAATTAAATTTGTCACGTTACGGTGACCAAGAGAATGTAGCGATGAGTACCGCGTTGTGTGTGTTATTTAAGGGGAACTGCTGGAAGGTAGGGGGCACTATATCTTTTACTTGAACTATACCTATCAGTACTTTCATGAACCATTTTAAGTGTCGCCATCTTATGGAATATTTCAGAATTAGTTTTTACAGTGCCATCTTCCAGAGAGACTTAAAAACACAAATTACTTCAACTACCATCACATAGATACCGCCACGCAATTTCGTTCTTAGATCTTCAAAGAGATGGCGCTGTATGAATACTCGTGTAGATTGTTCTACATAAGAAATGTCATTAGATGGGATGCACTTGATTTTCTAAAAATATTTGAACTGTCAAACGCAATCGTACTGTAGAGACATGAAAAGTTTTGCGCGAGTCTACTTTCAATCAGTTGGATGACTGTCTAAAACTGTTTCCGATTCATTCAAACTGCAAACCCGAATGAGTCTAAGAGTTCACGGAAACGACATATGTATCTTGAAGAAGGACAAATTCATGATAAATCGACCCTAAGATCGATTTATCATGAATTCAGTCCAAATGGAAAGTTCACGTTTTCAACAACCGATACACGCGAAGGATACAAGTAAAAAACGGATAAAAGTAAAATAACGTATATTTCAGATAGCTGTGTAAATTATGAATATAAAGTTCTCTAGCACTAGTATACATCACAGCAATAGCTGCGAACACTTAAAAACGTACAACCAAAATAAAGAATACATCATTTCAAATCAAATATATTTCATTTGTTGATATAAGTTAGTATACTTTGGGCAAATATTGTATGACCTTCAATCTTTACAACTATATTCATTAAATAATAAACTCCAACCAAAAAAATATAACAATAAAAGCTCTTTATTACATTCGAGTTTGAACTAAAGATAAAACGTTGAGCTTACAGTCTAGGGCAATAAAGAGCATTTACCTATAAAATAAAATAAAATATTCTGTACACTTCAAGCTTAGTAAATAAATAAATATCTGAGCACTTGCAAAAAAAGTACATAATAAATTAGGAAGTAAAATCGGAAGGGCCGCGTTCGTTCTCGAAACGAAAATTCAAAACACAAAGCCGAAATAAATTTACAAAATACACAATAAATAAACATATTCGATATATTTTTTCAATAGAACTTTCTCGGTTTCAACTTGACCGAGATCAAGTCGTCGTTTAGCTGACAAGCCTCGCTCACACTGAGGCTGACAGATAGTGCAGCGATCAAATTCGACACAGCAAAGATATGATATGATGAACGGGAGAAGAAGAAGGTAAAGGCGTCGGGATATGATTCTGACAACCCTAATATGGCTTATAATATCACCTCGAGTACGTTTGGTGCGAGAGGAATCGATTATAGATCCGACTCCCCATACAATGCTGTCGAGAATGACATGTAGTCCAGAGCGCCGGGAACGGCATTGGGTCCCTTGAAAGGAGGCATGCGCTGAATGCAGTATTCAGCCTGGTCGGGCGGTAGTTCTCTTCTCAGCTCATCGGGTAGAATGTACGGCTGTGGAACCACAGATCAATATCAATTCATTGTTATATGTTGATCTATTGGTGGATATTTTTCAAATCAACAAATTTGAAAGGTACATTAAACAAATATATCTGATTGTCATTAACTGGTACATTTTTTGATTAACTCTCTTTATTCAATATCACTGAATGCAGACCAAGTTTTCAACATACTACATAACTGTAAATAATAAAATAACCTCAAATAGTGACACTTTATACAGTATACAATCAAAGAACTGTTCTGAAATTTCTACAGTGCAATACAACTATTTTGAAAAAGCACAAATTAATAAACCAAGCTGAAAATCACAAATATTAATGACTAATGAAGAAGATTTAACCTTTTACAACATGTTAATACAATAAAAAACTCAGTTATACAATTGGTACTCAGTTAAATACTCATAAAATGCTCATATTCAAATTTTATCATAATTTGGTCGCTGAAGACACTAAAAGATAATTGGTAGGCACAGTCCATTTGCCTTCCTGGGGCTCAGTTTACGTCAGAACAACCAAATGCAATGCAGCATCAACAAGAGGATACAAGAACATAAGCTCAGCTCCAAACGCGGACTGTAATTCCAAGAATAGGGAATGTTCCTCCTGACGAAAATCAAGTAGTTTTCATAAAAGAGCTCTAAAACAAAGCAGTTTGAACTTATCATTTCAAACTTTTTCTTTAAAAAATTATTTAAATACTTAAAAAAGAGGAATGAAATAATGCATTCAACATTTAAAAGGATTTGTTTCTATTTCACCATTTGGCAACATCGGTTATAACTAATAAAGGACAATGAATCAGTTGCCTGTATGAAACAAACAAAAATGACATATTTCAGAAGCGTGCTGTACTGTTTACTTATGTTCCGAGACATTCTGTGACATATGTGCACCTAACCTATCTTCCTCTATATAAATAAATAACAAAACAACTGTTATTTATGTGGCTTGTGTAGGTGGTATTGAACTATAATTTATATTTTGCCTTAATTGTTGACTTATAAAGATAATTTTCCTTTTTTAAAGTAGAATATCTAGGTACTTATAAATTATTTCAACTTGATATATAAGCGCTGTTGCCAATATGTGAATCAGAAACAAATCCGTTTAAAAATTAAATTCCAACATTTAAAACATCAATTTGAGTACTTTTCGAAGTAAATATGAAAAACTCATGAATTGAACTCAACTTGATTTTGTTCAAACTTGCATTTGCTGTAATAACCCAAATTGAGGAACATTCCCCATTGCATTTACCGGATACCCTGTGAGTTCGGAAAATCCTATATTGGTGAAACTAAGAGGCCAAGCATAAGAAACACACACAGCGAGGGGAAACCAGCAAATCAGGAATAGCAGACCATGTTTGGACCCATCAACACAACATCGAGTGGTCCCAAGCTGAGTGGTCCCATACACAGAGAGGAACATTGGTTTAGGAGAAAATTCAAGGAAGCCGCATACATGCTGTCCAACAACGTATTCAGTCAAGCTAGCGTAGAGATATGCAACATATGAAAACCCATCGTCAAGCGAAAAATGGCCAACTCTCGGCAAATGGTCATCTCCCACTGAACCAGTGAAGCGAAAAAATGGAAAGCGCGGATAAGTGAAAGTACTCGAACGACCCATAAATAGTCATCTCTCGGAGGAATCAGTCCAGTCATCACCCGAAGACGATTGTAGATACTAACAATCGAAACGTCGTGAACTAACGTGACTTGGAATCTCTCCATTTTTTATTTTTATTTTCTTTTTTTCGTTTCTTCAATTGTTCTATTTTTACTTGTATTTTATTTCACTATTATTTCATTTTAGGTTTATTTTGGTTAATATAATTGTTATTTTCAGCTATTCATTTTCAATTCTTCTTTTTTAGTGGTTTCAGGGATTTCAAATCATTTTATATATTAGACAATGGCAGTTCGAACTAGTGAAATTCATCATGAAACATTGTCAATCACCTTCAAACAAACAATGTCAGCTGTTGCCTCAGGCAAACGGAGAAATCAGCAATTGTAGTAGAAACAGACCACATTATGAAATGAGAAGAAGCTGCTATCCTGTTTGATTCAACACATTACCACGTATGAGATCTATAAAGTGTCCCAAAAATTTCAACTGAAAAGAAGGTGTATGTATGGGTCCCCAGACGTGGTATTCAGTACTCAAGAAGGCAACAAATGGACTAGAATACAACTCTGATCGACATTCCATTAGTAGCATACCTGTCAACAACGTGGACCAATCAGAACAACTTAACGACACTGTAGACCAATCAAAACAACTCAGCCAATTAGAAGAAAGCATTTTCATGGACACCCCGCCATCGTCGACCTCACCACCGTCCCCACCATCACCCCCACCACCCTCTGGGATTATAAATACGAGTGAACAGGTTTCTAGCCAATCAGCATCAGTCCAAAGGGTAAGGGAGCCAGGCTCCAACCTGTTTGAAATCAAGACGACGTGCAGGTCTAGCCATGCTGAGCCTGCAGTCAATGCAATAACACTGATGATGTCTACCGCGGTAACAGACGAAACGTTTGCTACTACAGGTATCACGGCCTACTAGCCCGGATTTTGTTTTCAATTGTCAAAAAATATGGACATATTTGAATTTAGAAAAATCCAAAATTGCGGGATCATAATACCAATAATTTCCACCTTGAAGGAATTGTTAAGAATTTGAATTGTTTATTAATTTTTGATAATTAACAAGAAAAATCCTGAACGATTATTAAATATTTGTTAATTTTTCAAATAATGAAAGGTTATATACTCAAAAAACAGTAAGAAAAAAATTATTATTATATTTTATAAAAACATCAAAGTTTCCCTTGTCCACTAATGATCATAAAAATATCTTCTGATTATCAAAAAGTTGTTATAAGTATAAGTTGTTTGTAAGTTTTACGTTCAATGAATAATGAAAAAATAAATTTCAAACAATTTAGTTCAACTACAGAAATTTTGAAATATTTTACTTGGAATAAAATTTTTGTAGTAATGTTTCTGAAAAATTGCTAATGACAACTCTCGATGGGCACTCACCTTGTCAGCAGCTAAAATACGGAAACTGTCGATGACCTGTTCTGCGGTGTCAGTATCAGTGCTCTCTCTTGTCATGAAATCTAAGAAAGCATCGAAGTGTACGTATCCGGTCGAATTCGGATCGACCACGGCCAAGATTCTTTGGAAATCGATGTCACCCTGTCTGTCTTTTCCGATCGAATATCCTAGAGAGACGAGGCATGATTTGAATTCTTCCGGAGTAAGGCGGCCAGTCCTGTTCTTGTCGAAGTGATTGAACGAAGATCTGAATTCGTTCAGCTGCTCCTGAGTGATGCCCTTCGAGTCACGAGTCAGGATCTGGTTCTCCACTTCGTTGATGTTGCGGTTGATCGAGGTCAAGAGTTGTTCCCAACCGACGCGGAGCGTTTCCATGGTGTACTGCGTGTATCTGAGGACAAAAAGTTTTTCAAGTATGTGGAAAGTTGCTCTTGAAAATGCAAACATACATTCTTTAGCTATATGATTGACAAGTGAAGATGTTACAATGGACTAATTATTGAATTGTTTATTTTTGATTGAGGGAAATAGATTCTAAATATATCAATTTATAATCGGAATCGATAGAATTCTCAAAATCAACGCTAGAATCACAAACTTTTGATAATTTTTTGGACTTCTGAATAATACACGTGTTTTTTTTTGGTACCTTGGGAGATGTCTGACTTGTCCATTTAGTCCAAGTCTCCATAAAACACTGCAGCCTCTTGGGCTTATTGCGTTTATTCTCCCATATTCTCAAGACACCCATTCCATCAGTCTCGTTCCCTGTACTAGTTTGTACAGGTTCCGTATTGGATGTTCGTCATATTTGTCTGGACGTAATTTTGTACGTCCATTTATTGCCTGCCTCCTGTGATTCAGTGCCTCTCATTCGCATAAAATGTGTAGAGCTGTTTCTATCCCTTTGTTGCATAATCTGCAGCTGAGGTCTCCGTTGTACAACCCCATTTTATTCAGGTGTCCTCTAAGCGGACAATGACCGGTTAGTAACTCTGTAATTATTCTGAGCCGATTCCCACTATATTGAAGTAGTTCTTCGGTTCTTTTCTCGGACGGTTCTACTGTGTTTGTTGCCAGGTACTTTTGTCCAGTACTCTGTGTGGTTCTTATTGGTCCATGTCCTAATCTGGTTTCTTACCAATGATTTTGGTACCCCCAGAGCTGGTTCAGGACCTATATATGAAGTTGATGATCCGCGTCTGGCGCATTCATCAGCTTTGTCATTACCTGTGATTCCTGAATTGGCCCATCCTGGCCTCCCCCATCATCACAAGGTGTAAAGGAGGTAGATTCAGGAGCGTCTCCAATGCAGCTGTTGGGGTAGTTATTGCTCCCGTCATTCCCAAACATGCAAGTCTTTGCATCTCTGGTGGCATCTCTGGCCACCAGACCAGAGATGCATATGTTATCATGGGTTTAACCACCATCGTGTATAGCCAATATACCATGTCTGGTTTTAGCCCCATGTTTTTCCATAGGTGCGGCTGGCGACCATCGGTGTCATCCAGGTCAGTTTCCAAACTGACCTGGAACCAACACTTGTACACATGTGGTACAAATATTCTGATTTGATGATTGATATAGTTCAAAACAATTATCCGTACAAATCCACACACAGGGCGTTCCAACGAAAACTGTTGGAACACCCTGTATATTGAAATATAGTGCAGTGAATATTGTGACCTATGAAAGGGTAGATGAATAAATGAAGTGTTTTTGACAAATGTGCATATAACTATGAAGAAATCAATGCAAGCACAAGCGAATTATTTATTTAAACAAAACATTTTTCAGTTTGCTAATGTTTGGTTCAAATAGTTAATTTGTTGCCTGACCACAGTATCAGTGAGAAGCTTTTGTCTGCAAATTTGATGAGTACCTTTCCTCCTCACTGAGAGCATGTAAAATAATGTTACTATTCAAATTCTAAAACCAAACTATCACAATATCATTGTAAAAAAAGTGACAATCCACAATTAACACAATTTTATATCTGAAGTATCAGTCTGACATAACAATGTACACAAACATTTCCATTTTCAATCAAGAGATCATAATTCCAATCATTGCGAAAGATATTAGTTTTTTTATTTGTAAAGAAATTTTTTGCAACACCCTCAACAATTCCTCGGAAGTCAAATGTCTTAAAGAATATGTGAACTGAACTACCTTGAAGAATGTAAGAATTTCTTTGGAGACATCAAACACTATAAACTTATTTCATCTTTCCACCTTCACAGTTGAAACTCAATCAGGTACTTGGCTTTGTTTGATATGAACTTTCAACGCCTACGGCCATTTAATTAGATATTGAAACAAATTTTTTGACTGAAATGTAGGTTTGGAACATCGTACAGAATGAACATGGAAAATGTCTTAGTTCTGGTGTGCAGGAAAAATATGTTTGTTGAAAATTTTAAACAATGAACACACATACATACAGTATATCATGCATTGAAAATAATGAGTCTCAGTAGTAGTTGGCAATATTTCTAATTTCTGATTCCATTACAGCTATATTGGGTGACCCAAACTCATGGTACACCCCTTTTCTTCTTTATTTCTCAAGTTATTTTTACGAAATTAGAAATATTGAATATTCTCGCAAAGAGACAATTTTTGAAGTAACGAGATATTTTGTTCAACTTCTGGCTTTTCCGGAAATTACAACGAAGTTTGATTGTTAAAGGAAGCACCCTGTATATAATTACATATTTAAAATCAACATAATTTTCTGAAATTGATGATACCTCATAGTTGATATTTGAATTATGGATTGGAACACATGGTTTTGTCAGGTGGTCTGCACGATCATCCGACTTAATCCCTATAGACCTCTTTTCGGTCTTCGCGGGTTATTGTGGAAGTTGATATGAAATAGTAAAACAACTTTTGGCGTTTCTATAACCTGATATTGTTTGTTAGTTACTTACCAAATATATTATTGGAGATCGTATTGAGTTGAGTAGGCCAAGTGACTTCAGAGACGAGTGAGGATGATTATACAAATATAAGTAAGTGAATTTCTTCTACTAATTGTTGGTTTATGTCTGGACAGTTTCAGTAAACTTGAGGAACCTCATTCCTTATGCATGATTGTCGAATTCATTAACGCTTCCATGAATCTTCAGTAAAAGTGGCATAATGCCAAGTTGAATAAAAAAGGACGACAGTGCATTTGTAACCTGCTTTGGTTATTATTATTATGGGCTTTTTTTGATACCTGAAAACACTTATGGAGTTACCGGAAAACCCCCCAAATCAAAATGCCACATGAAATCATAGTAGACACTTTCGAGCTTTATCAAGCTGACCACATTATTTAATCGTCTAAGAACAAACAAAACTGAAGATAGTTTGCTAGTCAAATATTTGATATAATTAGACCAGCCTAAGCTATCCTCAATGAGGAATCCTGAAAATATAATACTTTTATTTGACTTGTATTGGGAGATATAACTACATTTTGAGTTCAGCAGCAAACCAAGTATGTGCTAATCTATTGCTATCTCTCTTTATTAGTTGTGAGCTGATTGATTTGCTGGTTTCATAAAATTGCTTAGATCATTCCTATACATCCAGGACAGTTGTGGACCTAAAACATAACCCTGAGGAACACCATAACTCATTTCTCTGAGGTCAGACTATATGTTGCTCATTCCAACATATTGGTTGATGAGAGATGCCAGATTATTTGATGGGGATGGGTCTATAAGATACATAAAGAGTACTAGAAAAACACAACCGAGAACAAACACGGGAAAAACTTTATAAAGGGACTGTTCGAGAAGAGAACTAAAGAAGTGCTTCAACAAAGTAGAAATCGGCTAAGGATTGGACACTGTCCATTGAGAGGACACCTGAACAAACAACAACAAATACCTTAACTGCATGCAATGCAAAAAAGGGACAAAGACAGATCGTCTTATTCTATGCTATGAGGCTATACCAACAATTTATAGATTGCTCAAATTGTACCTAGAAGAGTCCAGCGAAAGACCAGTACAAGCTAGTACAGGGCACAAGATAGTCGGAATAATCGAGAGCACTTCGATTATAAAAATGTTACAGGGCGACTCGAATGAACTGTTGGAGTCATTTGAAAAAAAAATTGAGATGGTTAAGAGGATCTCATTAGAACATTCTGACGTCTTTAAAAACCACCTTTGTTTCAATTTTCTAGATTTAGAAATTACGAAGATTTCGATTGTTAACTAACTTCTGTGACACCCTGTATATTGAAACTAGTATCAACGTATATATCTGCAAAATATTCTCGTAAACACATTTCTAAATCTATTTGATGCTCACCTGTTTTCGAATATCATGCTCTCCTGCACGGCCTGGTGGATCTTCTCCAATTCCTCGATATGGGGTTTGTAAGCGTACACGCCCTGTTCATACTCCTTTAGGCGGTGAAGCTGATCCTCCAGAGTGCCATGAAGACCCATTCCGATAGCGGTGACGGCGTCCAATTGACGTTCGATCCAGGGACCGACGGCGTTGGCTTTTTCGGCAAATTGGCGTCTCAGCATTTCGTTGTCTGAGCGATTTTAGTTAAGGAATTCGACGAGAACAACGGAAAGTTCAACAAATATGGGGAATGTATTAGAAATATGAAGTAGAGCTTATATTTATTTTAAAACGAAGTCATCATGTATTTTCTTCAATTAAACTTCAGCAGATATTGACTGAAATATAAGATTTGCTCTGGTTCTGGTTTAGAAACTGTGTGGGACATGATGCGTAGAAGCAAACATTTACAAACCGTTAGAGTTAGTCTCGAATACTTGGTTAAACCAAAACGCATGTTGAGGAGACTACTGCGCCGTATGTCGTATATATGGGAAGTTTTAATTTGGCAAGCAAGCAGCAACTTTGAAATACAGGGTGGGCCATCGGAAACTTGACATGGAGGCAGTAGCGTAGCTACTAAGGGGCTGGGCGGGGCAGTGCTCCGGGACCCTCAAGCTCAGGAGGCCCTCGACCTTACCACAAATTCTCAATCGAACTCAACTTTTGAAAATTTCTCCCATTTTCAGGCGCGAGGAGATTGTTTTTGGTCTCCACTGATTTAGAATCATTCAAGTGCTAAGCCTGTGAAACTACAAGGAACTATGGTATAGATACCAAAAAAGGCAAAGGATAGCTGATGAATTGAATGTTGATCACCGATTTTCAAACCGAGAAAAAATAATTAAAATAGAGATTTTCAATAACGTACTTGATGCATTTATAGCTCAATTAAATACACGATTTACTGGTATGAGTGCAGTCTATCAAACATTCGATTTTCTAACACCAACATTTTTATTCCATCTTGATGAGGCAACTTCATTACAGAAGTTTGACGAATTCCAGAAAAAATATCCAGATATAATAGGCCCTAGCTTTTCACTTCAATTTGTTAATATTTACCATCTATTTGTACCTCAATCAAATAACTTAAACATGGACTGTTCACCAATTATGAAAGGAAATAATGAGTAATTACAGCTATGTTATTATTCTTTACAATTCCTGTCACTTCTGCAGCAGCCGAAAGGTCTTTCAGCAAATTAAAATAATAAAGAATTATTTAAGAAATAGTATGGCCAAACTCGACTCCGACATTCATCGCTAATAGCAATTGAGAGCAAAACCGCATCAAGTCTGGATTTAACCGAAGTTATTAATACTTTTGCGAAAACAAAAGCTAGTAAAAGATTGTGATTATAATAGCTATTTAGTCAGTTGGTAGGTCCGATCTTTATATAATAATAATAAACCCTTGAATCTATTCTATTTCGTTTTATCGCCCAATACCTACTCCAATTATTAAAATAATTGTAATTTATGTTGTTAGAATTAGAATTTCATTTGCCCCAGGGCCCTAGGTTACCTACGCCACTGCATGGAGGTTTTGGGTACTAATCTTGCAAATCCGAAAAAACGCTAAGACAGGTCGATTTTTATTGGGAGGAGGACAATTTTTTCCACATTTACAGCGTCGTCACTTTAACCTCGGAGCAGAGGGGTGAACAACCCTTTGAATTTTAATAGGGAATAGGGGGCGAGTCCAACATCGTTTGAAAGATCTTGAAAATCTCTAAACAAAGGTGTACATTTTTTTAAATTTGGACGTATTTAAAAGAGTTCTTTCTGATAATCAACTTTTTCAATATTGTTGATAGCAACAAATTGTTGTACGCCACTGCTCAGTTGGAATGCATTTGGAACTCTTTCATTTGTTTCTTACGCTACTTTTTTGTTAAGATTTTAGTTCTTTTCTGATAAGAGGACTATTACAATTGAGAAATGGTAAAATGCTGTTTCTATTTCTCATTTTTATGTTGAAAGTGATGTCTACATTATTACTAGTAGTGAGTGCCGTAAAGTGTTGCTGAAGAAACAATGGTTTACACAACTGCAGAGAGGGTTGCGTTGATTGAACTGACAATGTGGCTCCTTGTCATTATAATCTATATGCACTTTCAAATCACAGTGGGACTACTTACAACGGACATTACACAGCATATTGCAGACACCCATATAGTGGCACATGGCATGAATACAACGATTCACAGGTGTTCCCAATTTCGCCAAAATCAATTGTGAGCAATGAGGCATATGTCCTCTTTTATGAACAGGAGGGAACGAAGCAGCACCTTTGATGTGTGTTTTTTTTTCTTTCCTTTTTTCTTAATAATCTTAGTTCTTTGAATTGATTTGTATTTCTAGTTGTGTCACAATATATATATTTAATTATGATTCAGAAAAACGCTGAAAACATACTTACTGGATAACTCGCATTATACTATGGACTAGTTCTTATCTTCGTAGTGAACTCTCTTTGCTCCTTATAGCATTTTAAAGTATTGTTTTAAAGTATTGTTTCCCTAATCTATGTTCAAATTTCTTTTGAATTGTTTTATACCTTTTAGGTCTTTGAAACCAATTAAGATTATCATTATTATATTTCAACAAGATGGGGCTCCTCCGCACTATGCTCTGCCTGCAGTATTTAGATCAGATTTTTCCGGATCACTGGATTTGGAGGCGGGGCACTATCGAATGGCCACCACGATCACCAGACCTTTCGCCGTTAGATTTCTTTCTGTGGGGTCATTTGAAAAGCAGAATTTACTGTACTCCTCCTGCATCACTCGAAGATTTACGGCAACGAATCACAAATGAATGTCACCAAATCACTTCAGAAATGCTCCACAATGTTCGAGAACGTTTCCAGCAGAATCTCTATTATTGCGTGGAAGCTGGAGGTGCCCATTTTGAGCATATGCTAACATGAGAATAAAGTAAGTAACTCCAACTGTTAATTTAGAGAATTCCAAGATCTTTCAAACGATGTGCGACTCGCCCCCAGTTTCCTATTAAAATTCCAAGGGTTGTTCACCCCTCTGCTCCGGAGTGACGACGCTGTAAATGGGGAAAAAACTGTCCCCTTCCCAATAAAAATCGACCTGTCTGAGCGTTTTTTGGGATTTGGAAGATTAGTACCCAAAACCTCCCTGTCAAGTTTTCGACGGCCCACCCTGTATATTCATAGTTTCGAGTTGTTCGACAGTGGTTTGCGAAAATTCGTTCCGGAGATTTAAGCCTCAAAGATGAGTCCCGAAGTGGTCGACCTACAGTAATCCAGGACGAGGATTTTAGGACTCTGATGGAGACTGACCCATCACAAATGGGGCGCGGTATGAGGGAATAACTGGGTGTCAGCTCCTATCGGTTTATGATGGTTTAAAACGTAATGGAAAGGTCAAAATTTGTAAATGTGGATGCACCACCATTTGAACGATCGGCAGAAATTACCACGTTTCGAAATCTGTTATTCTTTGCTGTTCCGCAACCAAAATGAACCTTTTTTGGATCGGATCGCCACGTGTGATGAAAAGTGGATACTCTACAACAACAGGAGACATTTAGGACAATGGTTGGACACTGATGAGCACCCAAGCGCTTCCCAATGGTGAACACCCACCAAAAAAGACCAATCAGGACCAGGCAAAAACCACCTTCTTCAACTTCATCAAATCCCGAGCATACAAATTTTATGCTGGCGGCATTAATCGACTCTTGTTATATTGTTGAAAGTGCCCTGACTCAAATGGCTCTTATTTCGATTGAATTGAATGATTATTCTCCGAGATATTACAGTTCAAAGTAGACTCATAAAAACAGACAAAACTTGAAATAACCTTATATAAAACTTTTCTATCGCTGCCAATTGGTACACATTGGACTTGTCATAATTAATTATAAAACAGTTTCTATAAAATACTCACAATAAGGTCTGTTGTTCTCAACTGTTGTTCTACTCTAGTATAAAAGTAAAAACAATATCATACAAAACTAAAAAGGATACTTTGCTGTTTTCTAAGTTCCGCTTGCAAAGTGGCATCCCTCTGAGGCACCAACTGTCTAACTTCTCCCCACTTCCTGGTCAAATCCTGCAAAAACAAACACATTCAATCGGTACGTTTCCGGATCTCGCTCAAAACACACCCACATTTTACCTCTAAGTCACCACCGAATCCTTCCTTATTTAGGCGCAAAAAAATAAAAAAACAAACTCGCATTAATAACGGAAAGTCTGAAACTTGGAAAGGAATGAATAAAAACTCGATGATGTCGTTGATGGTGAACAGCGATAAACCTATCTTAGAGTCAACATGATACTATAACTAGGAAAAATTCAGATACTCACGTGAGCCGTCAATGTAGTGTAAGGGTTCTCTAAGCCTCCAGGAACTTGGTGTTGCTTGACAATCGATTCGACTTCTCTCACTAGTCCCACGATGCTTTGGTATTCTTTGTCAGCCTCTCCTAATGTTGCCTGAAATAACAAACATCAATTATGAAGCATTCATTAGCATCATTTCAAAAGGTAATAAAAGCTATTATTCCTTCATGGTTTCAGAGGACCTGCCCAGCATCTCCAAAATATGCCGTGGAGTTCCCCAAGGATCCGTGCTACGTCCGATCACATTGCTTATACACCTAAATGAAATTTATAATATCAATATTAATATAAAAATTACACAATGATACCACTTTACTGTGGCTTGGAAATGAGCTGTTTTTTTTAACAAAATAAATTAAATAACATACTGGTGAAAGTGAAAAAAAACAGTGATACGGTTGCCACAATTTTTTGCGATATTACTGAGTTGAGCATGTTAAGAGTGTTAATCATGAAATATTTCTTGAAAAAACTCGATTTGGATGCAATTGGTTTAGAGTGTACCTTTCCAGGCAAAATTAAATGGTGAGCATCAAATGGTGCACTATCAGAAAGCAGACAATTCAACTCTGTGTGCCACAGGGTTCTTTGTTAGGTCGTATCTTCTTTATGTTATGTTGATGATAACACTATGAATGATATAGCTGAATGATGAGGTAATGTGGAAGGAAAAGACTGTTGTGTTACATAAAATGATAAAACATTTGAAACACTTGAAATGACACATATGATGATTGGTGCTGCAGGTTTTTCCGGGTTTTCCTGCAGCTGAAGAAGAAAATGCGCCACTGGAATCAATGAAGTCGCCCCGGAACGCCAATTAATTTTTATTATTGTTTTTATTTTATTTTTATCGTTGTTTTAATAAAATGATTGTACTCCGAGTCAGAAAAATGTTTGCAAGTGGTACAAGATTTTCACAAAAGGTTGAGACGGTTGAGAAGGGCGCCCTGGACGCCCTAGATCATCAACAACCGATGAAAATGTTGGAAAAGAGAAGAAAATTGTTATGGAGAATCGTCAACCATCGCATAAGCATCGCTACTGAATTGAAGGCCGTCAACGGCTATTCCAATTTGCTCAAAATGGTCTTAACTGGTGACGAATCATGGGTATATGTTTATGACATTTAAAGCACGCCAAGTATGATCAAATGTCAAGGTTTTGCTCACTGTTTTCTTCGATTATCGTGGCGTAGTGCATCAGGAGTCTGTAAGGACTATCATCTTGAAGTTATGCGCCGCTTGCAAGAAGCAATACAAAGGAAACGTCTAGTTTTGTGGAAAAACAATTCATGGCTTTCGCGTCATAAAAATGCACCTGCTCATTGCTTGTTCGTAATTTTTTTTGGCCAAAAGCAACACTGTAATCATGCATAAGCCACCGTATTCACCAGATTTGACCCCCTGCGACTTTTTTTGTCAACAAGATTGAAGAGACCCATGCACCAAAAAAGTGCATATCAGAAATGCGAGGATTGGAACACAGGCAGAAATTTTTGAGGAGGACTACTTTGAAGGGGACAAAATTCGATCTTAGGACCCATACTTTTTTACTATTTGTAAATGACCTGGCTACTGTACGTAATTCTGGTAGTTTCACCATTTTTGCAGATATACCACACTTTTGTGATATAATATAAATCAACAGAATTTATATGAAAGCATCTGTAATGAACTCAGCAAAATTAAACAATCGTGCGATGCAAATCTGCTGTCATTCAACACTAAAAAAACTAGTGCAATCTACCATAAATTCATATGGAAAGTACACTAGTAGAAAAAAAGATCTCTACAAAATTCTTGGGAATTAATATCGATGAGTGTCTGAAATTTGAGGAGCTTATAGGTATTATAAACAAGAAACTTTCCTCCGGGTGTTTTGCACGCAGAATGGTATCAAAGGAACTAGAATTTCACGCAGCAAACAATGTTTATTATGCCCTCATAGACTCTCACCTAAGGTATGGCATAGCATTTTGGAGTGTATACAGTAAACAGCTGTTTCAATCTGTTTTCATATTACAAAAACGTACAGTACCCTATCTCTGTGAAGCAAAGTGGAATGATTCTTGTAAGCCACTGTTTTCAATGCATAGAATTTTAACTGTGACTTCATTGTTAATCCTTGAATTAGCATGCCTTATACACAAGAACGAAGGTACCTTTACTTCTCCGCCTCACCACAATACTAGACAAGCATGCCAGTTAAAGGTTCCTATCCCAACAAGTAGTCAAATCAAGAACTCAATTATTTATAATGGAGTGAAAATGTATAACAAGTAACCTAAAAGCTCAACAGAATGTGTCACACTACTATCTTTTACGAGAAACTTGGAAAGCAATTCTGGCCAAAAAGGTTTACTATAAATTAAATGAATTTTTTGAGGATAACCTCGACGATGCATAATAATATAGTTCATATATATCTTTCTATTTGTAGTGTTTTTTATTTATACATTTATACAAAAATTACTCAATCATACTTTTGCCCATGTACAAGATTACACTTTAACAAAGATATTGTTTGTGTATGTGCTCATTTGTATATATTGGTACATTTACCTACAGTGTGACCCATTTTTAATGAAAACACCCCCCTAAAATTTGAAGTTGTAAACCGATTTCAATATTTTTTTTTTTTTGAAATGTCAAGTACTAAAAGGTCTACCTAGAGACAAAATTTGAAATGTTTATTAAAGTTTCAGGGCATACTACGATATTTTTTCTTAGTCGAAAATCGGGATTTTTTATTAGCGATTTTTTTATTGAAAAAATCACTACGCCACTGGATTCAGAGTGCCTCTNGCATGAATTGGAAGCTCTTTGAAGAAAAGAGAAATGAAACTTTCTATGTTTTTTACCACTTTTATTTGTAACTAACGTTACTGCAGTTTCGTCCTATAAGGCCATTTTCAAACTCATACATTGAACTTATACATTAATGTATAAGTTTGAAAATGTCCTTAGAGGACGAAACTACAGCAATGTTAGGTACAAATAAAAGTGGTAAAAACATAGAAAGTTTCAATTCTCCATCCATCAATTTATTGAATAAATAAATATTTTTTGAGAAAAATCAATATTTTTTGAACAGACCCTGTATAATAAATTGCAAAAACGAAAATTACATCACAAACATCATCACACCTTTGTCTCTTACCTTGAAATGATGATGGGCATCAATCAAACCCTGGATTTCTTCTACTGTGTGTACAATAAATATGTCCACGAGGTCCTCTCGAGTTCCGTCCAACCAGTTGTTGAATGGTGCAGCTCGCTTCGCGAATTCCAAATGGAGGATGTCGATCTTCTCCAGGATCCTTTCGGCGTCGTCCAAGGCCTGCCTGCGGCGCTGAGTCAAAGCCCCGAGTCTGTCCCACTGGTCGCAGATGCGCTGGCATCTCGCGTTAACGCTCACGCTGTCGTGGTACTCCAATGTACTGAAGAATCAATCAAACGTTTTAGATTGGGTTCAAAGTGAGTGGAATGTTTCAATCCTCACTAAATAAGTTAAGTCGATTCGTTTAATTGGTGAACGATATCTCAGTGAATAAATAAATATTGTGTCGTAAAATACAAAATAACATAGAAGAGGGACAAGCACATCACACACCATGATCAAAATTTACTGAAATTCATTGAATTCGGCTGCCTATCAACGATAGCCTCTTCGAGATTTTTCTTCAGAGTAGGAGCAGATACATTACGATAATCTGAGGGCATGTTATTTAGCATATAAGGTATAGAAAGCGCCAACTAAGATTAGTCAGCGCAGAAACGTAAAATCGTTCGGTGTTGAAAGACTCTGCCCACTCAAGTCATATTTCGCCAATGTACTATTCACGTCAGTTTGTGTAACCAATAGCAACCTTCTGGGGCGGGTACAATTTAGTTTTAAATGCGCATCAAAATCTCATCGTAGTTGGCACATACTAAATCGTATACTAAATAAGAAAACGATGCCTCAAAAAGAGGAAGAACGATGAACAGATACTTGTACTGCACTGTTTAGAACCTTTGGTGAAGTAATGAATATTACTGGAGTTTTTTCCCAGCACCAAACCGTTCATTTTTAACACCTCGACACGTGTTTCGATCACTAAGAGATCATCTTCAAGGGGAAGATTAATTTTAATCTTCGGTTTGGTGTTGGGATAAAACTCCAGGAATATTCACGATGAACAGGAATAGAAAATTCATCATTTATGTTCCTCATGATGAATGTCCTCCCCTCAAACTACACACATCGGAAAAGTCTAGGGATATTTTTAAAAATGGCAATAATTTTTTTTAGATCGCTTTAGGGAAAAAAAGTTGACGAAACGAATGTAACTTACAACAAAATTTATTAAATGGTCAAAAATACTGAGTGCGCATATAAGCAAAACTAAAAAAAANGGGTTGACTGAAACATTTCAGTCCAGAATATGATTAATTTACAATTTTATTTTTTATTATTTTTTAAAAACATTTCACTGGTTTGGTTAATAAACCATACCAAATTCCATACCAATGGAAAGTATGAAGCCTACAGCATATGTAGGAGCTTTCTAAACTCAGATTAGATTTTGCCCCCAATAGATGCGCGTTAGAAGACGGGAAAAGACTCAGTTAGGAAAATGATCTCGCAGTGTTTACATCGTTAGCGTTTCTATCCTATTTGCGCAAGTTGTGAAAATTCTCAAGTCTCCTCTTAGATTCGACAAGCTATACAACTCTAACTTGCACCGGTGTTTCAACCAGCGTGACCACATTTTATTTGAGAAATCTACCTACAGTGTCATTAAAAATCTATTGAAATCTACTGCAATATATTTGAAGTGCACCAACATAGTGAAAGTTTGAGTTTTCGACCACTAGGCGGGGCTTGTAAAGACATTTGAATAGCATGACTTAATCTAGAAGGCCTTGGTCTTCTTACGGGTATGGCAAATGAACGTGGTCTAGTACTTGGAATAGCAAGTTGCTTTCTTGTTGGTTATTTGTTGTTGGTTATTTTGAACACTTGAACTATGTCAAGTATTAGATTTCAAGATTCAAAAACAGAAATGTTTCCATGTTTGAAATGAAACTTTAAATTCTTTGAAAGGTCCTTTCTTTATTCTGAGGTCGGATATATTCAGGAAACAGTAACAAGCGATCGAGAAATGTATGTTTTATGATCTGTATCCATTTTGTGTTCTGTGTATCAAAGCGGGCAGAACCTAGAAACATGTCATTTGCTGAAGATGTCGCCACTCACATTGAAATGATAATTCTATCGCCAAGGCGACTTATCCAAATCTACCGGTGAAAATTAATCCACTGCAATTTTACAATTTGTGTTGAAAATCCACCGAAAAAGTTGAAATCTACTGCATGTTTCACCCTTGTTTCAACTTCGGAAGAAAGTACTTACTTGAGTTCCTGCGCAATCGCAGCGATCTGTTCGACGCGATCTTGATGCGCGGCCAAATCGGATTCGAAGGCTTCGTGCTTCTTCTTGAGAGCTTTAAGCTCGTTGAGGCGACACTGCCTGAAGTCTTGGCTTTGGAGCATTTCTTCCTTGCCGCGAGTCCAGTCTTCGTGGGCGTCGGCCTTGTGTTTGAACTTCTGCGCCAGATGTTCCAGACGTTCCAGGCGCATCATTTCGGAGAGCAGCCATTCTTCGAACGATTTTTCAGCGTTTTCCAAACCTTTCCAGGCGTTCGCGATGTCCTGAAAAATGAATGCGAATATTTTCAGGATGAATTTCATTGATGACACGAAAGAGAAACGAAAGATGGATTTCTTTGGAAGATATGTTTTTTTATCAGTCAATTGAGAAATGTGTCAATTGGGTAACATGCTAAAGGCATAAGTTTTGAAAAAAAATAGAAATGAATGTGAAAATTCACCCTATTTTTTGAACAGACAGTGTATATCCAATAATAACAACGGTATTACAATGGGGAATGTTCCTCAATTTAAGTCATTACAGCAAATGCAACTTTGAACAAAATAAAGTCGAGTTTATTTCATGAGTTTTTCAAATTCACTTCAAAAAGTATTCAAATTGATGTTTCAAATGTTGGGTTTTAATTTTTAAAGGGATTTGTTTCTAATTCACATATTGGCAACAGCGCCTATATCAAGTTGAGATAATTTATACGTACCTAGATATTCTACTTTAAAAAAGGAAAATCATCTTTATAAATCAACAATTAGGGCAAAATATAAATTAGAGTTCAATACCACCTCCACAAGCCACATGAACAACATTTGTTTTGTTATTTATTTATATAGAGGAAGATAGGTTAGGTGCACATAATGTCATATGTCACAGAATGTCTCGGAACATAAGTAAACAGAACAGCACGCCTCTGAAATATGTCATTTTTGTTTGTTTCATACAGGTAACAGGTTCATTGTCCTTTAGTAGCTGTAACCGATGTTGCCAAATGGTGAAATAGAAACGAATCCCTTTGAATGTTGAATGCATTATTTCATTCCCCTTTTTTGAGTTTTCAAATAATTTTTTAAAGAAAAAGGTTGAAATGATAAGTTTAAAATGCGTTGTTCTAGAGCTCTTTAATGAAAACTACTTGATTTTCGTCAGGAGGAACATTACCCATTGACATTACATTTTTTGAAGAACACTGAGACCTTGTCCTAAATTTCAGATATTTAAATCAATCGAAGTTTTTATGTTTATGCAATATAATTCATCATTTCAAAAGATCTTCTGTCTTTTCAAGTCTCAGCGGTAGTTACTAGTAACATTTTTATTTATTAATTAAGAGGCTTTTATTCTTATTTGAGGAAAAAGACATACACTGCTCTAATAGCGTTTTAATTTCTTACTACAGGAAGCATCGGATTTTGGGAGACACGTGGAAAAGGATAGAAAGAGGTCTTAATAAAGCATCCCAAAATGGTAGGAATGGGAACATAAAATATACATTATTCAACTTCCGTTTTTTATGTTATCATTTGGGACACTGTAACTTTGGTATTCCTTTGAAAAATAAAAAAAAATTGATATAATAAACTTACCGACACCATTTTACCTTCGGTGGGCATATAAGCCGGTCTGTTGGACAATCTCAGTTTGGTCTGAAGAGTGTTGAAATTCGTCTCCAGTTTTGCTTTCTGTTCCACGCGTGGAGGCTTGTGTTTGCGCCTGTAAGTTCGGTACTCTTCCAATTTCTTCTGAACGCCCGCTAGGGAGTTGTCGGTTTGGCGCGATCCTAACCATGGCATGGTACGACGGATCCATTCCAGTAGCTATATTGGACAATAATTGAATCAATCGCGGATATCCAAGACTTTTCTTCGAAAAAGATTTGAATACAATTAATGGATGTACTTGAATAGAAATTTCCTATGAATGAAGTAGAGATATTACTTCTGAATTTGGTCCTTAGAGCCAGATATTGGTCCTTCGAGCCGGATATTCAAGAAAACTTTTACTCAGAATATACAGTACAACAAATTTCACCATATAATATCAAGGTACTTTTCCATTATATCTAATACATTGAAAATGTATTAGAAAATCATTGTTTCTTTGTTTTTTCTTTCAATCAATATCCACAGTTCGATGTCCGTATCTGCTAATGATAAAAAGAGAAAATTTCATCAACAATAATGAAGCCGGTGAAACAAATTAAAATCGATAGGTGAGACAGTAAGTATACTCCATTTAGGAATTGAGAAAATTTCCATATGGTCAATGACTTTTCATAAAAATGACATAATTAACAGAGAAATAAATTAAAGATATGATTGAAGTTTGCAAACAAGAAAAGTAAATTCATAGTTTCATAGAACGTCACTTACATCGCTTGCCAAACGTTCGTATTCTTCCATCAGGCGTTCATTTTCTTGGTTGACCTTGAGCACCTTGCAGATTCTGTTGGCTGCAGTTTCGGCCTAGACATGAATCGTGTTGAAAATTTTATTCGTTTATCAAAAATACGTCACTTGAACCTGTTAAATTGTCAATTCCGAAATTATCATGTTTGTATATTTATACATTTCCATCGAAAAACGTATATGCCATTCCGTTTCTTCCTGTATGAGAATAACAAAGAATCTTTTATGAAATTTCTAGATCTTGGGAAATGGATCAGTAAATTGTTTCATGTTGACACTTGACAATAAGAGTATGGACAATAATACAATTTTGCAAGATTGTGACCAAAATTGTCCTCTTATCGAATGGGTAGTTTAGTCAGTGGAATGAAAAAATGATGAATTTCATGATGGCTTTCACCCTTTGGTCAATGCCAAAGGTTCGCCTGCCAATCTCTTGTCTCATGCTTCTATGTAGTTTGGACATAGGAACTTTCTGGTATTCATGACGAAGGGTCCTAACACAAGCCCATATCTATCAACCATAGTAGCATTTAATGAAAAGACCACGTGGAAGGTTGAATAGAAACAATCTACCAAAAGTCATGGAATCTGAAACAAGCTACGAAGTTTTGGCTATATTCAATGGTTATTTACCCGATGGCAAAATATGCATCTTTGATTTGGTGGCCGCAAATGAAACAAAATGAACCACGGGAACAATCCATATCCCAAGCAAGTGGGAACATGGTGTCTCCAACATATTCCTTAGTGGACTTGGAATGGATATCCTTCGGTGAATATCATATGGAATTCCATGAAATAACCAAAAATGTATAAGTATAAACAGAAAGCTGAAGAGCTACTTTAAATTTATTGTGTTTCTCATCTGGAGTTTACCATTATTTCAATCTTGAAAATGAAGATGAATAAGAAACAGATTCCATTGTATAACCGCATCTAGAATGGAGGTCCTTCAGATATCAATCGAATGTTCCTTCAGGTATAAGCAACACAAATCTGTGGCTGGCTTGCGAAGTTGGTAACCAGTGACGCTTTTAAGGAAGACCTGCCTCCATGGCAGCAAATACTAACTGCATCCACCAATCAGGAGAAGATCTGCTGATCCTCTCAGAAAACCTGAGGGCATCGACGCCAAAATGTGCGACTCTAAAATCATACCTATGAACTATCTTCCAGGATATTCTCTACAGCAACATGATGGTGCACTGAATTCCAATTGACTGGCCGATATCGAGGTTGCCGAATATTAAAGGTACATATAAAGGCATTTATATGTCAAACATGCCTGTTTATATACTAGATTCAGCTGAGCAGAGATTTTCTGTCTTTAGTTTGGCTGAATTATCGTTTGAGCGTAAGCATTCGCTGACCTGCTCACAGGAAGTTAATTTCTTCTACTGATGCATTTTGTTCCTCTGAAGCACAAGCATTTGGTGCGAGGCATATTCGTAAGTTATCCTGGTCATGGAATCAGGTACTGATTAATACGACAGACGCGGATCAAATCAGAAATAGGTCAATTAGGAATATAAACAGTAGTGGCAATGTTCATTTGGGAAAAGAACTGTGAGTCTGTTTCGACAAATAATTACAGGGTTATCACTAGACAACGTCTATTCAGAAGATACCTGAATAAAATAGGGCAGTATAACACAGATCTTAGCTGCGGGCAATGCAGCACAGGAAAACAGACATTAGAGGATACAAGATTATTGGAATGGGCGTTATGAGGCTTCATTTTTTCCGTTAATTCCGAAGAAATGGACAATTTGATGTCGGGATCGAAATTAACTGATATCTAATGATATGAATGTCATTACTTTCTGAATAAACTTGACAGTAGTTTTGCCAATTGTCTTAATTTTTTGGTTCATTTTTACATCCAGCAACTAAACCACTCAGTTTTCTACAAGCTGTCAATGATGTCAAGGAAATTATTGATAATATTAATTTCTTACAAATGACGTAGGCAATACAGGGTGTAATGTGAGTACGGTAAAATATTCAAGTAACGTATTCCTGACACAATTTTGATAAAAAAAAGTCTATACAAACTTGTGTCCGGAAATGCTTCGTTTGGGAGATGCAGGGTGTTGAATTTGAATTTTCTGTTCGTTTTTTTAAAATAACTTTTGCAAAAAATAAGTTATTTGCACGGAATCTGGTATCAGGGATTTTTTGACGTGGGAAATCATAATTCCCTATCAATTTTCATGTAACATCTAGAGGTCGCTGCGTACGCTGTCATTTATTTCAAATTCCCCTAACTTTTTCAACAACAAACTTTGGGTACTTTTTCATGAAAAAAACCTAATTTTCACACCTTTTCCAAGTAAAAAAGGTAAACTTCCTTTTCAAGATGTTTATAATTGTCTATATCGATGCATATTACTTGAAGTTGTTGAGAACATTACAAAAACTAAGTATGTGGTGGATCTCGTCAAGATAAACAACGGTTTCCTATAAAATGTTTGACGAAAATAACGAAAATTGCAAAAAACTTATGACGAAAACCAACCATGTTTTGAAACATACAACAATTTGTATCAAGAAAACGAATGATTTTTTGATAAACATTTAATAGGAAAAAGTTGTTCATTTTGACGACATCCACCACATACTTAGTTTATGTAATGTTATCAGCAACTTCACTTAGATCACTTCCAGCGTTGTTGAGGAAGTGTACCTTTTTTTACTTGGAAAAAGTGTGGAAATTAGATTTGTTTTAAAGAAAAGTACCAAATGTTTACTGTGAAAATGGTTAGGGCAATTTGAAATAAATGATGACAGCGTAAGCAGCTCCCTCTAGATTTTACATGAAAATTAATACGAAATTACGATTTCCCACGTTATTTTAAAAAAGAACAAAAGAATTTAATTTCAACACCCTGTATCTCCGAAACGGACACAAGTTCATATAGACTTTTTTCTTAAAATTGTCTCAAGAATACGCCACTTGAATATTTCAACGTACTTATATTACACCCTGTGTATTCGATGGACCTATTTTCAAATTATGCAAACCGAAAATAACTTGAGATGGAAAGCGCGGAAACGGATACCTACATATTGAAAAATATAACAAATTCAGTGACGTATTTTCAACGTTACAGTGCTATAAAAGTTATGAAATCCAAGCTGGTTAATAGTATTAAATCAAATTAAAAAAAAAAAAAGAATCACCTTCTGGGCGCCGGAAAATCGATGATAGTAGGACGACACGTACGTCATGACTGCTCTTTCGTCCGGCATTGCCGTGTTTTGTAAGTCTGCATGCAAAAAAAAACACACACGTCAACATAACTTACGGAACAACATTCAAAGGGAAGTTAGGGGTCCATGACAAAAAATAAAAACAAAAAAATTATTTGCGTTGGCAATCCTGCAGATGAGTAGGGATAAAACGGTTAGAGTAGCTGTCAAAAAAATCATAGAAGCGGTTGTGTTAGTTTTTTGACACTTTCGTACAATCGATACCTGTTGGGCCCCCTGGAAAGCGTGGTAATAACATGACACGTAAGTCATTATTGCACGCTCATCGGGTTTAGGAGTGTTGATCAAATCTGCAAGTGATAAAAAAAACTATAGGTGAGTTTTAACGCGACAAATCAGTATTGAATTCAAAATGCCCAAATTAATGATGGGAAACAGCATTTGAAATCTGTTTTTCCGTTAACCAGCTGTCGCACCTCTACGAACAACAACCCTCAGACGTCGAATTTGTTTTAATAAATCTTTTTGCGTCACCCACCAATCAACAATATCAAAAAAGACATCTGAACACCTACTTTCACATACATATTGTAAAGTTGTGGTATCTTCAACCTTAACACAGTGTACATTAAAATATGTTGAAAAGATAACATAAAAAACGTTTCTGGAAGTTTCAGAAACCCATTATAAATTTTCAAGTTGACTCAAAAATATTTATTTATTTATTTATTCAACGGCAAAGCCAATTTATAAAAACATATTTATCAAAGTGTGAAGAACTACAAAGTATTTTTAAATGCTCTTGCACATTGTAATGTCTACATTACAATTTGCAATTCCACAAAACATTTAGCGATGTGTAAAATACAAAATATTAATAAATCCTTATGTCTAGTGACTACATTACTGAGAGATGAAACAATTCTGGTACTAACAAGGAAAAAGGTGTAACAAATCTGGTACTTACAAAGAAAATGGTAAGGTAAAGAAAAGCTTCGAAAACGCTATAGTCTTTTCAATTGATTTTTAAAGACCTGAAGTGATACATTAAAGAGATCTAAGTTATTATGATACTGATTTCCCAGCTTCAGAACACGAGGAATCGGATTGTTCAAAGCACTATTGGTATGGAAAAAATGTCAGGATTTCTCGTATCTTTCTGTTTGATATAAAACGTTATTAGTTGAAGTAGTTCTGGGCAGTTTATCTCACTATTTATTAATTTGAAGAGGAAACTCAAGTTCATAGAAATTCTCCTATTTTCCAATGATTTTATATTCAACTTGCTTAAAAGTTGACTATACTCATATTCATTTCGTTGAATACCAAAGTGAAAAGCAAAATTCCTGTAGAATTTCTGTTGAACATTCTCAATCAAATCTATATTTACATTATAGTATGGGTCCCATAAAACCGAACAACATTCAAGAATGGATCTTACGAAAGCACAATATAAAATCTTTTTTGTTTCAATCAAAAAATCATTAAGAATTCTCAACACAAAACCTAGCATTTTGAGACTTTTTGCCACAATTTCTGATACTTGAAGATCAAAATTTATTTCGCTATCAAATTTAACTCCCAGATCGCGAATAAATGTTTCTCTTTCAATTTTAGCGAACGTAATGATTTGACACTTATCGATGTTTACCTCTAACAAATTATTTCTACACCACAAGGAAAAAGCTTCCAGATCTTTTTGAATTAATTCAGCATCTACCCGGCAAGTAATTGCTCGATAAAGTTTGAGATCATCCGCAAACATAAGAAATTCTGAATATTCGAAAACAAAATCTATGTCCGATACAAACAAGTTGAACAGAAGTGGGCCCATATGGGATCCCTGCGGTGCTCCTGTTGGAACCTGAATGGGCGTAGAAATTGCAAATTGTTATTCTGATATTTTGCATAAAATTTAGAAATGTTAAAAAAATATTTCTTCGAATCTTAAGTGAGTTACATTCGCCTTCAAAAACAATTTACAATTTTTTTTACATATTGCTTTGTGTTTTTCCACCAAAGCACTTGAATTAATGCAAATGTTATTGATTTTTCAAAAAAAGCACCTGAAATAAAAAAATTATAAGTATCTTTCAGAATTACATTCAAATTTATCGAATTACTATTAAATTAGTGATTTTGATTATAGATTTGAGGCAAATAACCTCTGGGAAAATGAAAATATTTCCTTTACTTTCGATGAGTGCAAATGGAGAATTTCTCTTTCTCTCTCTCTCTCTCTCTGTATCTCTGGCTATGCACTGATATGAACCTGAAGATAATATATCAAATAATATATCATATTTTTCAGGAGAGAATCTCGTTTGATCATTTGTCGCTATATAGTTGTGAAAATTACGGGGACTGTTCAAAAAATAAGGTGAAGGTTAAAATTTCGCAAGCTACGAACAATGAATTGACATTTTAAATTTTTTTATGTTAGTACACTCGTATCGAACATATGTTCACAGTTTCAGCTGTATGTTAGTGAGAAGCAAAGAACACTGTAATCATGCCTCAGACACCGTATTCACCAGATTTGGGCCACTGCGACTTTTTTTTCTGTATTATATCTGAGGGGGACTATTTTTGAGAAAAATGAAAATGCACCTGATTTTACGAACATACACTGTATTCATGTTAGACTGTAGTGATTATTCAACCATTTAGACACAAAATCTACTTCCAAAACCATATTTTCCTTTATCAGAGCTGTTATTTAGCAATGAGAGCCACCAGCATGATTACTGGTTTGCTTGATAAGTTTTGCTCAAAAATATATAACAAAGTTTGACTTCGAAAAAATGTAAATTCATCTGACAAAAATATTTAGATCGAGTGGGATTCGTAAAAATTATTTCCTAAATCATTTTCAGTTGAAATCATCGATATAAGAATCAAAGTAAATCATTCATATGTTGATTTCATGGCTTTTTATTGTTCTCAACTATATCGCTTTTCGGAAGAAGTGTTTTACCGCTAAAAACTCTGTTTTGGCGGTTTAACCTCAATTTTGCAGGAACAGATCGTACCAAAACCTCTAAGCAATTATTTATGTACATGGATGTAGTTCAATTATCGCGTTGCCAATAAATTAAAGATCATGAAAAATATACTTTTGATCTCGTAGTTAGTATCAAGTTTCCCTAATAAGGCCACAACAACCATTAGACAAACTGAAAAAGCGTTTATATTTTCTAGAGCGCAGTTACTAATTAGGAATTTGTTGTTAAGTTGTTTGACGTCATTTCAACGTTGATACAAATAGTGGAATGTTTTACTTATCGCACAACATGGTTAGCCGGTTCTACACACTGAAGTGCATATGACTTCAAAGAAAAGTACAATACCGTTTCAAATATTAGACAATGAGAATCCATAATAAGGGGTTTACTCATGGGAAAAGTTCATTTGGGATTTACAATTTCAGTCTATATCAAACATTCGCTGCAAAGCCGAACCACAAGTGCATCGATATATATTAATATCGTTATAGTCGACAACATACTGCACTGAAAAAAAATGTATTCTCTGAACGTCAAGTGCCAGTGAAGTCTTCTTTCATTAAGGTTTTGCTGCAAACAAGCAAAATTTCAATGGTGTTAAATCGGGTGAACGGGGTGGCCAATAATACTTCCGGTGTCATCTCATAACCTCGTCCCTCAAAAATTAAATTGATGCACTGCTTCAGTGCAACATTTTTGTGTATTGGTGAGTTATTCAGCTGGAACTTGATGTTGAATTTTGTCTGGTATTCATGTCCATGTTACGCAAAATCTCACTAATATCATTAGCTGAAAAATTTCGGGTAACCCCCAACTGTCAAATTTTCCCTAAGAATTGAACCAAACGGAGATTTATTACTGGGGATTATAGAATCAATCTCCTACTTCTTGGGAGATTCAACCAGGTTAAACATATAGACACGCCTTAAGCGAAACACGTGTTACGTTTTTGTAAAACTTCGTCTGTTGCTTCCTCATCTCTAATAATGTCTTCAGTAATTGAAACAAACCCGGAAAGTAACTTTGATACGAGGGTTGCCTTTTATATTTCGGGATTAGAGAACAAAAACAAATATTAATCATCGAAAATCACTTTATTGTTTTTCAAAATATTCCCCATGAAAATCTATACACTTTTGCACGCGTTTGAACAAATTGTCGAAGCACTTTTGCCACTCTGATCTCCAAAACATGCATTCTGTGCCATTCGGTGCCAAGTCAGGACTATACGGCGGATGACTCATCAAATCGATGTTTTGGGTGCTCAAAAATGCAGTTGTTTGAGCCGATGTGGGAGATCTAGCATTGCCATGGTGGAGAGTGATCCGTCTTCGACGGTTGGTTTTCCTGATTTCTTGAAAGACAACTGACAAACAAATGGTTTTGTACCACTCAGAATTGACTGTTCTGCGTTGTTTTAGTGGCACGGTCACGACATGTCCAGTTTTTCCAAAAAAACAGGCGACCATTTGCTTGGAAGTGCTTCGTGCGCGAAAAACTTTTGTTGGATTTGGCTTATCTTGAAATACCTATACAGTTGACTGCTGTAAGTTTACTTTCGGGCTCATACGCGTAAATTCACGATTCATCACCTGTCACGATGTCATAGGTGTGTTTCGAAGCATCGCGATCTTATTTTTTGAGCATTTTCTTCGACCAATCGACACGATCCTTTTTTTGAGCGATTGACAAATTGTGTGGGATCCAACGCGAACAATTTTTTTTTGACAGTCAAATGATTATGCAATATTGAATGTATGCTGGTTCCACTAATGCCCAAGGTTGTCTCAATCCCACGATAGGTCACATGACGATTTTGCAATATCAGTTCGCGCACAGCATCAATTGTTTTTCGAACAAAAACTGATTTTGGACCACCTTCACGAAATTCGTTTCGGAGTAAACTACGACCACGATTGAATTCACCATACCATCGATAAACACTGGTCTTTGATGGAGCTTCATCGCCAAAAATTGAATTGAGTTCATCCATGCACTGTTGCTGAGTTAATCCACGTCAAAAGTTGTAAAAAATAATCGCACGAAACTGTTCACGATTTAATTCCATTTTTGGGCCGAGATGAATCTTTTACTCTCCAATCCCAAAGTTAAATTTTTTGGTAGTCTGTTCGCGAATAAATATGTTTATGTCTTCAATGGTATCACTGTGGATAAGACCAAAAAAGATTAGAAACGTATCTATAGAAACGCGTGATGATGAGTTTTTCTATCAGTGCTTATTCATGTTTTAAAAACGAAACGCAACTCTCTCGAAAACATGTTTACTAAGTATGATTCATTGGCAGTAACAATGTTTACTAATCGCGGTGTTGATCAGTACATCACCTCTCATGGTTAGATATTCTTGTTTATTTTACATCAAAACCCCAAAAAATCTATATCGTGATGACACCATCCAACAGCGTAATTTCAAACCTAATGAAAACACATTTCCTACAAGTATAGCGCTGTCTCTTGACTTGGGTTTCGCTAAACATTTCATCATCATCAGGATACACATCCAGATGAAGCATGAGAACTATTAATCAAGTTCCTACTATTAGTTGGTGCAGGAGTCTCCAAACTACGGCCCACGGGCCAAATCCGGCCCGCCAGTGTCATTAATCCGGCCTGCGACAGCCAATGATTTACTGTCATCAATCTGGCCCGCGACAGCCAATGATTACCTAATTGTTGTTACTATTGCTGTGATAAGTTGAAGAAGAAAACACAGAATGATAATTACTCGGTTTTATTTACTTGCAAGGTAAAACTTAACGACAGAAATG